AGAGAGAGAGAGAGAGAGAGAGAGAGAAATCACTTCCCAGGGAATGGCTATGTCACAATCCCTTCTACTTCATGTGCCTGGCATGATTTTCCAGCTGCCAGGTCTGGGATGCAAGCCATGGTTGGTAATCTGAGAATCCAGTGCTTTAACCACCATGGCATGTGCTGGCCCTTAATTTACTTTTTGGATAGGGTATGCAGTTTAGTTAGAGGTTCATATTTTTTTGCTATAAGTATCCAATTACTCCTGTACTACCCTTTGTTTAAAATGCTGTTCTTTCTCTACTAGTTTGCATTTGCACTTTTGTGCAAAATTATTTGGCTATACTTGTATGGATCAATTTCTGTATTATTTAGAATTGATCATCCATTCATCTGTGTCTGTCCTTCATTTGTACCATACTATCTTAGTTACTATAGCTCTATGGTAAACTTTTTTTTTGAGAGGTTTTTGCTATAGGATGCGTTACGCTCAGCAGAAAGAGAATCGGAAAGTGAGAAATCACTCCCCAGGGAGGATGGCCACGCCGCAGTCCCTTTTCCTCCATTCTCTTCTCAGGATCTTGGGTATGCATGCACACACGCCCGGCATGAGTTTAAGCCTCTGTGTCCAGAACTCAAACTGCAGTCGACTACTTAGGAGTCCAGCGACATAGCCATTATGCCAACTGTTAGTCCCGCTCTATGGTAAACTTTTTTTTGGAGAGTTTTTTTTTTTTTTTTTTTTTTTTTTTTTTTGCTATAGAGCACATGCGCTCACCACACAGATAGAGACAGACTGAGAGACAGAAAGCGAGAAATCACCCTCTAGGGGGGATGGCCACGCTGCAATCCCTTCTCCTCCATTCTCCTCTCAGGATCTTGGGCATGCATGTACATGTACCTGGTATGAGTTTTAAGCCACTAGGTCCGGGACTCAAACCATGGTCGACTTTGTGGAAGTCCAGTGAAGTAACAATTATGCCATCTACTGATCCTACCATATTTTGCTTTTAGATCTCTGACATTTTCTGTGTACATCTGCTTTTTAGTTTTGGTAAGTTGGTAAGTTTGGGTAAGTTGACTGGTTTAAGGAACTTTAAGTGCCAGGTTAAGTATATTAACAGCATATTCATTGTATCTTTTTTAGATGGTGTTATCTGAAAAGGTTAGTCAACTGATGGAATGGGCCAATAAACGACCTGTAATAAGAATGAATGGAGACAAGTTCCGCCGCCTCGTTAAAGCCCCACCGAGAAATTACTCTGTTATTGTCATGTTCACTGCTCTTCAACTTCACAGACAGTGTGTCGTTTGCAAGTATGAACTTTCAACTACACTTAAAATTAAATAACTCATAAGATTTTAACCATTTCTTAATCCCACGAGAACCAAATTAGTTCAGTGGCTATATATATATATAGATATATAGATATATATTCAGTGGGTATATATATATATATATATATATGTGTGTGTGTGTGTATATATATATATAATGTATATATAATGAATGTGGAAACCTTCCTTAGGATATTTGTGGTAACAATACTATTGCTCTTCTATAGCCAATTCTTGATTGTCCATATTAGTGGGGTAAGCATGCATAAAGTATTGTGGTAGCCATCATACAAATAACTTAAAAATCAAATAATTACCTTATAAATTGGTATCAATTATGTAAATATGTACCAATAGCATTGATGCAGTGTTATGTAAACATGGTTTCAACTTATTGTTTTATTTCAATTCCAGAAGGGAGAAAAAGAAATCTTTCCTGATATTTGGAACAAACAGATTCCAATTTATAAGGTAGAACAAACAGATTCCAATTTTTTTTTTAGGTTTTTTGAGAGAGAGAGAGAGATGGAGAGAAGAAGAGTGAGAAATCATCCCCCATGGGAGACAGCCATGCCACAATACCTTCTCCAGTCTTTTCTTGGGACGTTGGGATCACACACATATGCCTGGTGTAATTTTCAAGCCACCAGGTCCAGAACTTGAACTATGTTCGGCCATGTGGCAATCCAGCACCTTAACCACTATGCCACCTGCTGGCCCCCAGGTTCCAAAGTTTAACTAGTCTACCCAAAGCTCAAGGTTTTTCTTAATGTAATAATGGTGTCTTCATCCAAATTTGGAATATAGGAAAACAGGGGACTTTTTTAAAAACAAAGATGCATGTGATCTCAAATGTCTCATCTAAAAAAGTTGAACTCATAGAAGCAGAGAGTAGAATACTGGTTACTAGAGACAAGGGCAGGGGATAGGAAAGAAGTTGATCAAATGGTACAAAGTTTCAGCTAAATAGGAGGAATAAGTTTTAGTGATCTATTACACGGCATGATGACCATTGTTAATAATAATGTATTTCTTTAAATTGTTAAAAGTACATTTTAAATGTCCTCACAGCAACAAAAAAATGTTAAGTAGATAAAGTGATAGATATATTAATTAGCTTGATTTAATCATTCTGCAATATATGCATATATCAAAACATCACACTATATCCCCATATTTGTCAATTAAAAATAAATTAGTGGGGCTGATAGATGACATGGTGGTTAAGGGTGCTGGGCTCCCACATGGCTGACTGTGATTAGAGTCCTGGACCTGGCAGCTTGCTTTCTCACTTTCCCTCTCTCTCTCTCACTCTGTCCCTCTCTGGTCAAATTAAAATAGGTAAATAAGTAAATAAATAAATAAATAAAGTTAAATAAAATAATTCTTTAATAAGTGAATGAATAAATTAGTATTGGGGCCGGCAGGTGGCATGGTGGTTAAGGCACTGGACTCCCACACGATCAACGTCAGTTCAAGTCTTGGACTTGGCAGCTTGAAAAATCAGACCAGTTGTGTGTGCGTGTGTGTCCAAAATCCTGAGAATAGAATGGAGGAAAAGGGATTGCAGCGTGGCTTTCTCTCCTGAGGGGTGATTTCTCACATTTCCTCTCTCTGGAGAGTGCATACACACTATGGCAAAAAAACTAAAAAGAAAGTTTTTAAAAACCCAAAGATGCATGATTTAGAGATGTTTCGTTCTTCTCAATTAATTTTTAGTCATTATAAACCTTTAGAGATGGACACTGATTTCACTCAGGTTTTCATAAACAATGGTTTATTGATTTTTTTAAATTGTGGTAGTTTTTTGTTTGTTCGTTTCCCCCATTTTTAAGGTTTTTGCCATAGGGCATAGAGAAACAGGGACAAAAATTGTGTTCTGAGAATTTTGTAAGTCATGCACAAGTGCCTGGTGTGATTTTCAACCCTCCAGGTCTAGGATTCAAACCACAGTCAGCCATGTGGAAGTCAAGCACTTTAACCACTATGGCACCTGCTGACCCAACAGTGGTAGTTTTTTTTTTTTTTTTTTTTTTTTTGAGTTTTTTGTTTTTGGGCAAGACAGAGAGACAGAAAGTGAGAAATCACCCCCCTGGGGGGATGGCCACGCCACAGTCCATTCTCCTCTTGGGATCTTGGGCACGCACACACACATGCCTGGCGTTAGTTTAAGCCACCAGGTCAGGGACTCAAACTCTGGTCGGCTACATGGGAGTACAGCAACTTAGCCATTACACTAACTGCTGATCCCCAGTGGTAGTTTTTTTAAAGTTTATTTATTTATTTCTTCCACGAGCAAGAGAGACAAAGAGACACACAGTGCCCCCAACAGGGTCCTGATGCTGTGAACCATTTTCAGCCTTCAGCCATCCCCTGATCATGGGCAAGCATGTGCTTGTCATACTCAGGGAGATCTCTGAACTTGAACTGAGAACCTTCCTATGTGGGATTGCCTTGTAGAGCACCGCTTTTTCACTGATGTGGCACTGTCCAGCCCCTATTGCTTTTATTGTACTGATTTTGAATGGTTTCAGGAATAAAGATTGGTATTTTTTTTTTAAATTTGCTATAGGTGCATGGACTTGCCTGAGTGAGGCAAAGGGAGAGCAAGAAAGAGAGGAAAAAGAGGGGTCACCAGGTGGCATGGTGATTGAGGTGTTGGACTCCCACTTGGCCGACTGAGGTTCAAGTCCTGGACCTGATGGCTTGCTTTCTCACTTTCCCCTCTGTCCCTCTCTGGTGAGCAAATGTGCCCTAGAGGAAACTTAAAAGAAATAATAATAGTAATAATAAATATTGGGTTGTCAGAAAAGTCATGACTCATTTTTGCATAGAAAAAATACATCATGTCATTTCTAACAACCCAATAAAATAAAATAAATATTTTTTAAAAAAGAAAGAGACAAAGAGGGAAAGTGAAAAAGCACACCACAGTCTCTTCTCCTCCATTCTCCTCTGGGGATTTTGGGCACACATGCACACATACCCATTGTGTTCTTCAAGCTTCTGGGTCTAGAACTCGAACTGCACAGTCAGCCATGTGGGATCCAGCCACCCTAGCCACTATGCCAGCTGCATGACCCAAGATTGCTATTTCTTTAAACAAAAATAGCATGGGTAATTAAAAATGAATACTAAAAAATAAAATAGCTTTTGCTTTTAGTGTATTTTTACTTATATTTCTAGATAAATATCTCTACTCTGGAGTTCTGTTTTAAATAAAACAGCAAAGCTGCCCTTGAAGAAATAGTATAGTATAAACTTGGAGGCTTTCCAAATTCTGACAGTCTGGGCCCTGTGCACAAACAGCTAACCTTGTTTCTTTTCTTTTTCTTTTTCTTTAAAGAATTATTTTATTTAACTTTTTAAAATTATTTTATTTATTTATTTAGATTTGATCAGAGAGGGACAGAGTAAGCAAGAGAGAGAGAAAGTGAGAAAGCAAGCTGTTAGGTCCGGGACTCGAACTACAGTCAGCCATGTGGGAATCCAGCACCCTTAACCACCATGCCATTTGCCAACTCCTTAACCTTGTTTCTTAAAGGATTTTCTCCCTAGAGGTAGGGGATACTCAGTGTATTTGGTTCCATATTTATTAACTATGAATAAAATTAAAATGTAGAATTACTTGTAATTTAGTCCATTCAATCAGCAATCAAGAGTATACAAACATTGGGACCAGCAGATGGTACAATGGTTACATCGCTGAACTCCCACATAGTAGACCGTGGTTCAAGTCCCGAACCCAGCAGCTCAAAACTCACTCTGGGAGGGACCAGCAGGTGACCTGGAGGTTAAAGGCCCTGGATTCCCACATGGCAAACCATGGTTCAAGTCTAGGACCTGGCGGCTTGTGCTCTCACTTTCCCTCCCTCCCTCTCTCTCTTTCTCTGTCTGATCAAACTGAATAACAATAATAATAGTAATAAAAATAAAGTTAAATAAAAAAAAAACTCACTCTGGGAGGGACCAGAAGATGTTATAATGGTTATATTGCTGGACTCCCATGTAGTCAACCACCCTTTGAGTCCTAGACCTGGTGGCTTAAAACTCATACCAGGTGTATGTATATACATGCCCAAAATCCCTAGAGGAGAATGGATTGTGGCATGGCCATTACCCCTGGAGGATGATTTCTTGCTGTCTCTCTGTCTCTTTCTGTCTCTCCAGTGAGCGCACATACCCTATAACAAAAATCTCTCTTAGAAAAACAAAAATAAAAACTCATGCTAGGCGTATGTGTGTGTACCCAAAATCCTGAGAGGAGAATGGAGGAGAACAGATTGTGATGTGGTCATTCCCCCCAGGGGATGATTTCTGACTTTCTGTCTCTGTCTGTCCAGCAAGCACCCGTGCCCTATAGCAAATAAAAATTCTCTCTAAAAGAAAAAAAAAAAAGTATGTACAAACATGCCAGGGGATTAACACAAACTCCTTCATAATTCTGTAGTAAATGCAATTTAAAGGAATTTTTACTAACCTAAGTTTATATTGGTTTCTTACTTTTTTTTTTGGAGAGGTTTTTGCCATAGGGCGCGTGCACTCGCTAGAAAGACTGAGAGAGACAGAGAGACAGAAAGCGAGAAATCACCCCCTAGGGGGGATGGCCATGCCACAATCCCTTCTCCTCTATTCTCCTCTTGGGATCTTGGGCATGTACACACAAACGCCCGGCGTGAGTTTAAGCCACTGGGTTCGGGACTCGAACTGTGGTCGACTACATGGGAGTCCAGCAACATAGCAATTA